ATGAAAGATGATTTCAACCCATTTAAATCTCTCATCAATTCCGGAACACATAATTTACAGCAGAATTTTCTGAACACAGTGAGAACACAAAATAATTGTGTATAAGGGGAATCTAGAGAGAGAGAGGGGAGAGAGAGAGAGAGAGAGAGAGAGAGAGAGAGAGAGGGAGAGAGAGAGAGAGAGAGAGAGAGAGAGAGAGGGAGAGAGAGAGAGATTTTTGGAGCACCGTCCATTAATGTAAGAAAATTTTCAGTGTTACAGTGACAAGAAAGGGAACCTTCCAAAGGTGAGAAAGTTAAGAGATAATCTATCAGTGTTCATGTCAACTGAGAGATCAATAATAGATAGATAATAGCGTTTGTATAGCGCAAATTCCCCGCGCAACAGCACAACTATAGGCGCTAATATATTGTAATCTATGTTTCTTCATGTTAGTTGATAGATAATCTGTGAGTGTTCATGCCCGGGACAATGTCCCAACCCAGATGGTCAAATTTGATAAACAGATCTTGTTTTCACATGGAATATAGACTAAGAAAGACAAAGAAGTAGCATTCATGAATGTTTAATCATGGTGGCATTTTTAAAAAAAATTATTTTTTTTGGAAAAGTCCAGTCTTGAATTCCGTGTTTAATCATCTGGGAATACGAATTGCCGTCTTCACTTCAATAAGACGTTTGTTGTGCCCTGGCGCATTTCGAACAATATCTACAACTAGCTGCTACCACGTACGAGGAACGAACTCAAAAGAATCGATCGTCAAGTCATGGTGGGACCTGTGCGCACTGCTTGTGAACGGAAGCCTGACTTGCTTATAATGGCATCTTAGAAGACGGACTTTCCCAAGAATAGGTCTTAACGAAACTAACGAAAAACTTAATGTTGAACTACAGTGACTTTATGCTCCTTAATATAACTGTGCACCCTTTAAATGATTCTGAGCCATTGTTAATAGTTTCAAATTCGAAAGTTAAGTGGTTCGAAAGTTTTAGGCGACCAAAGTGACGAACTTTCACAAATATAATATATAGATGTTCAGAATGTTTTAAGATCTTAAAATATTTAAGTCGGTGTCTTCGTTTCAAATATTATTTCTATTCCTCAACTGAAAAGGAAAGTGAACAAGTTTCAGTTTAATATTTTATTTCTTTTTTATAAAAGGAATTGTTGTAACTTTCGGTAAAAATATTAGCAATACAATTGCCACCTAAAAGGCAGACAAATAAAATTTGACGAATGGGAAGATAACAGGGAAATGGTGACAAGGAAAAGCGACTCTAATTGAGAAGAGCTGTATGTGTTTGTGGTGACGAAATCGTGGTAGTATTTAACAATATGGCAGGGTGTAACAGGATTGGTAGGGTGTAACGATATGTAACGATATGGAAAGGTGTAACGATATGTAACTACATCGAAAGATGTAACGATATGTAACTATATATATGGAAAGATGTAACGATATGGTAAGATGTAACGATAAGATGGGATGTAACAATGTGTAGCGATATGATAAGCTGTAACGATATGGTAGCATGTTACGATTTGTAACGAAATGGAAAGATGTAACGAAATGTAACTATATCGAAAGATGTAACGATATGTAACTGTATAGAAAGATGTAACGATATATAACGATATGGTAGGGGTAACGATATGTAACGATACAGAAAGAAGTAAAAAATATGAAACGATAAGGTAGGGTGTAACGATATGGTAAGATGTAACGATATTGTAAGACGTAACGATATGTAATAATACTGTAAGATGTAACGATCTATAACGACATGGTTGGATGTAACAATATGGTTGGGTGTAACAAAATGGCGGGGTATATTAACGATACCACATAATGACTAGTACAGACGTGAGGAAGTCCGCAGTTGTATTATTGTCCTACACAGAAAAGACGACTTTATAAATTAATAATGATGTCCCACTTGAAACTATGTAAATTTATTTACGCCCACATTGGCACAATTTAGGTTCTTTAGGAGGCAGGGTTCCGACAGTGTCTATCGTGGGTTGAGAGGGATACAACATCCTAGCAGAAACATAAATGAAAATTCTCCCTATTCGGTAATCGAACTTGGACAGCGAGGCACCTAGCCGCTGAAACTCAGGCGCTGGTTACTATGCCACTTAGTTTTCGATATCACACAAGTACACGGAGCGTTGTATGAACACGTTACTACTGCTGACTGCTACATTGGAGCTCGCTGGGATTTGCTCTATTATGTTGTTTTAAAGCTGACTATAATAACGGTTTTTAAATAGAAGGTTGGCTTTCACTAATTTTGATATTTTAAAATTGCACTCGTGTTAATATTCATGAGCCTGTTGTGTCCTCTTCGTATTATCATTAGGGTTATTTTCTTGTTGTTGGTGTGGTTTTATAACCAACGAGCAAAACTTGGTTCGCGGAATTCCCAGCTTGAAGCCCCCC